CCCCCCCCCCCCCAACCGCCTTTATCCTCCCAAGCCGTGTCCGCCGCCGTGCAAGGCTTGGGAAGGTCGAAGTGGGGAGGGTTCAATTTTTATTTTTTATTTTGGATTTAGTTGTTTTTGTGTGGGGTTTTTTTTAACCTATTAATGAAGCTGCCATTTGTTTTCACCTTACAAACAGTGGTAAAAAAATGCAGCCAGGCCCTAGAGACCCATGGGTACATGTTTGAGGCACCTCTGGCTGCAAAGGTGTTTCATGGGCATATGACGGGAGAAAATATAAGGCAAATTAAAAGTCTCTCTTTTTGGGGGGACTGTTTTCACTTTGTTATCTGGGCCTTATTTATGAATTTGCATTGTAACCTAGACTCTAAAATGCCTCATACAATCACCCCTATTGTGTTTATTTTTCCCCCAGCTTGCTTCAACCTGGTTTCTGGTTAAAATGCGAAAGGAAGCTGTCAGTCTAGCATAAGAACACAGAGATGAGTGCTGGTCCACATTTATAGCGATTTCACATAAATGGGTGTACTTTCTTCTCCCTGTGTTTGCCTGCTGTGCTTAGGAAGGCAGCCTTTCTCCATCAGGTTATCCAGTTTGCTGAGGTTATTTTTGTTCTGCTTAATGAGGTTCCTGTGAGTCAAAGTCTAAGAAATATTATTATGTTTAGTGTTTGCCACTATCATAGTTGACCTCTCTGAGCGAGACCTCAGTCACTCTTTATTCACAGCTCAGCATTCAATGGCTTTCAGTCATAAACAGTTCCTGTGAGAGGCTTGTCTCGTGCCATGAGCCTCACTTATTCCAGACTCATCCCGCACATGGAAATGCAAGAAGGAACCTCTTGACTTAAATAATAAACTCCTTAGAGATGCATGGTAGGTTTTGGTCTGCAGTGAAGTAGTTTGTGACTTGGCTTTTTAACAGAGGAGCACGAAGAAGCCCCACAGCCCAGTTTACATTCACAGGCCCACAAAATCCTAACCCCAGCCATGCCATCAGAAAAACACTTTTGTTGGATTAGTTTGTATCATGGTAAAGAGCAGAGCTGTGAGCAGCAGAGTTGTCTCATGGCATACATGTTGCTGCTGGGTGGCACCCACAGCATCACTGACAAGTTGGTCAAAAGAAACTCCTGGAGGTCTCCAGCCCAGCTGCCCCCTCAGAGCGTGCTATGGCCACCACTAGAGCAGGCTAGCCATGGTTTCACCTCCCCAAGCCTGAAGAGCCCTGAGGGCAGCAAGTGCGCATCCTCCCTGGGTGTCCTGTCCCACTCACCTTGTGCTATGGCATTTCCTCATGTTCAGCCTGGCCCAACCAAGGCTGGCTGCTGGCTGTGAAACCTCCCTGGTAATCAGGGGAGGTTCCTCGCTGGGGAAAGGCTGACATTGTGCCCGGCTTTCAGAGATAGGAAGAAAGGCTTTAAGTGCTGGATGACCATCAGCTAAATGCCAGATACGTACTGACTGGCACAAACCAGTATTCCTTTTTCTCCAGCCCACAGGCACAGGGCTCTTGCTGGCTGTAAGCTGGATCGTTGCAGATACCACACTCCTAGCCTTCCACTGCTCCCCCTTGGCTAGGCACCATGCCTGCCCAGCTCAGGGCTGGAGTGGCATGTCTGAGCGGCAGTGCTGTGTTCAGCTGTGCGCTCCTGGGCATGGTGGCCTTCTTGCACTGGTAACACAGGAACCAAGGCTTTTTACCCTGCTACAATCATGAGTGTGGATAGGTGTCTCTGAGAGAAATAAACGACCTTGCTATGCCACTTCCCTTGACACGCTGTGCCCTTCCCTCCGCCGCCACCGCGCACCCTTCTGGCACTGCCCAAAGCACCTCAGGGGCCAAGCCCGTCCCTCCACTGCACGGTGTTATTCAAAGCCAGGGCCTGCCTGGCCCCAGCGGGGCAGTTCAGCAGCTGCCAACCGCAGGCGGGAAAGCAAGAAAAATTGTCAGAAAATCGCTTCCTGTGCGCGGCCCCGCTGGGGCCCGCAGCCCCGATGCCTGACCCAAGGTAGGAGCGAGCCACCTCCTGGCCTGAAGGGGGCGCTCCAGGCCCGCCCTGCCCCACCGGAAGGAGGCCAGTGACACGCCACCGTCCCGCCTCCATCCCTCCCCGCCCGCCCAACATCCAGGCACCCTATTGGCTTCGATGGTTGCTGCGCGCCTGGTCAGGTGGGCGGAGGCGGCGCCATGGCGGATCGGTTGACGCAGCTGCAGGATGCGGTAAACTCGGTGAGGCGGGTGCTGCTCTCTTCTCTCCCCCAACGCCTTTTGTTCTCCTTCCCGGCGGGGAGGGGAGGTTGCTTCTCAGTCGCGTTCTCTCCTGCCCCACGGTCTCTACTACTGCCCCCCGGTTCGGCCGCTGCGTGTGTGAGGGGCTGGTATCCCTTTCCGCAGCCCCGCGGTCTTCGGCCCCCAGGTAGAGGGTATCGCTCCGGAGGTGTGTACCCACGTGACGCCGGGGTATGTGTCATCCGCTGGGATGCAAAATAAAATTGGAATAGTTTAGTGGTGAAATAAATTAACGATTTCTTTACCGCTTGCAGCTCGCAGACCAATTCTGTAATGCCATTGGAGTGCTGCAGCAGTGCGGCCCCCCAGCCGCCTTCAACAACATTCAGACAGCAATAAACAAAGATCAGCCTGCTAATCCAACGGAAGGCAAGTCTGTACGCGTTTTCTAACAAAACGTGAACGTGTGCTGATACAGTATACTATCATACAAAATCTGTATTTCATGCTCAACAATTTCACCAGTAGCTGGTGGAGTGATTGAAGTTAAGTCAGAAATTTGTCAGCTGCACTTGCTGCTTAAGATAGTGATAGCAGAAATGTAATTTTAAGTGTTATATAAGCGTTGCTATGTATTTCTTGTGCTGGTTTCTTTGCACAGATACAGTAGCTCTATAGATATAAACCCTTTTAATAGGATTGCTGCAAGAGGTTGTTAGTGAGTTGTAAGTTGCTTCCAAGAAGTCTTTTTATAAAGAATTAATGTTAGTTTTATGAAATCATGTATGAATTTAAAATTTTCCATGTCATAAACTTTTAATTATTTGTGTTTCTCCATGTTTCATCTGCTTATGTAATTAATTAAGGAATAATGTCATAATGAATCTACCCATTGGCATTTGTGGTGATAGTGTTGGCTGTCTTGCATTTTTATTGAGAGATGAGAAACTGGTCTAAGACACTGAAATTAGCAAGCAAATAAAATTTCTTTCTGATCGGAGATTTTCAAGATAGTATTTAAATAACCATGTTACTCTAATTCTGCATCTTTTTCTTCTTTTTTTCCTCTCTTGTTTTTTCTTTTCTCTGAGAAAAACTTAGATACATCAGAGTAGTCTGTTAGGATATTGGGGGAGACTTGTTTGGAGTGCAGAAATATACTTTTTAGGACAGTTGAATATTAGCTCTTCATTAGTCTGTGGTGGTTTGCTCTGATACTGGAATTACTTGGAAAAGCCAGCTGAAAGGCTAATTTGCTTTCTCAGCTGCTTCTGTTCCAGGGTCCAACATCAGTGTGGTGCTAGGAGCTAGAGGCATTGTTAAGGTCTTAAGATGGTAGGTCGTGATTGATTTCTCTTGATTTGTCTTTTCCTAAAATTCTGAATATAGTGACTTCACTAAAATCATACAGCCATGTTAGTGATGCTGATGAGGCAAACCAAAACTACCGGTTATGTGTCTTAAGAAGCCCTTAAAACTCTTTACAGGTAAACCCTGTGGTGACCCTGACTAAACTTTAAATGTGTATGTTGGTTTTGGGTTTTGTTTATATGTTAGTCAGGTGTATCTTTGAGACTGTCAATCTCTTCTATAGATTTTTTTGCCATTAGAAAGTATTTTCTCTCTAATAATCTGTTGCTTAACATGATTTAAACAATCCATCTATTTCAATTGCTATCTTTATGTTGTTTCTAGTGTTCTTTTTTTTGTCTAGTGGCAGATTTCAAGGCAAGGAATGAAAAAAATTATTTTCTAGCTACTTCAATACTTAACATAGTGAGTAGGATACTTAATACTGATATTAATAATTTCTTAATTGTCTAATAGTGATGGAGTTCTAGCTGTTCATTTGTACAAAGCCCAGCCCTTTGTATGACCACTTACCTTGCTTAATCTAGGATTGGAATCAAACTACTTTAATCTTCCTGTATGGTTGAGTTCCCATCGGTTGTGATATTGTTGTTTTCTTCATGTAGGACAATTTTTAACACCCGCATACTTCAAGTCTATAGATGTTTCTGTGCTGTGTGTGCAGAATTGTGCTTATTTCTAACAATACACTGAGTAGCCTGACTTTTCTTTTTTTAAAGAGTATGCTCAGCTGTTTGCAGCATTGATTGCACGAACTGCAAAAGATATTGATGTTCTAATAGATTCCCTGCCTAGTGAAGAATCGACAGCAGCTTTGCAGGTAAGAGTGTTCGTAATTAAAATACCAAAACATAACTGAAGGCAAACTTCTCTCTTTTTTTAACACACATTTTTACTCGAGGCCATGTAATCTTGAAAAATTATTTTGCTATAAGCCTGCATTTTTCGTGAGGGTAGACTGAAAGTATTTTATAGGCTTAGTAAAAATACTGTACTTGCATCTAGTTCTAAATAAGGTTATACACAGTGAGAATATTTTAATTTTAGTTTTCTGTTAGGATGTAAAAAAAAAAAGTGCTTTTATCATAACACCACAATACTGGAAACTGCTACCTCTTCTTTCTCCTCAGCTATTCAAATATTAATACAATAAATGCAACAGTACTGATGGGTTGTGGGGTTTTTGTTGACTTTTTTCTCTTGGGTAATCTTTCACATTCTCTTACTCATGAGGAGCATGTTTCATTTTTGTAGCTGCAGAGCCAATGCTTTACTGAAGCCTTTTGTTCTTCCACAACGTTTCTGGTTGTTAAAGGGTTTGCAGGCTATCCTTTAAGTTCTCCAGCTCTGTCACAAAGCAGTTATTTCACTTTTCAGTAATAGGCTGTCCTTCTTTGGACTAGCCAAACTTGGTGCTTTTGTTTCTCACTCCTCTCTCTTTAGACCAAAGTTATTCTAGGAAGAGTTTGGTAACAAAAAGCACATACTGGCCAGGCAGCTATTAGCAGGGGCAGCCAGTATCACAACCTCCATTCCCTGCCTTACAGGAGCTGAACGGCTGCAAACAGCTTGTGAATCCTTTCATGATACTCATCTGTTTCTTGCTTCCAAAAATGCCTTAGACCCACAATTCAAAGAACACTGCTGTGTTGGGGTTTGTTTGGTGCTTGTTTTGCTGTTATTTCTACAGATTTTGCCTATTAAATAGAATCTTCTTTCTGGCTCTCAACTACTAGATTTACATCAAGTATTTTCTTTTTAGAATGCAACAAGTGCTGTTTCTCTGAGAACCCTGTAGCTTCTTTAAGATAATCTGAAAGTTTTACACCCAGGTTAATAATCTGTAACTATTCAAAGGCATTTTATGAAAGACTAATACTAGAGGTACCTGCTAGGCCAACTACAAATGACTTGACAGTGAGTGACATCACGTTTGGTTTTAAACAGAGGGGATTAAACTTGGAAACATTGCTAGTCACAGTAATTGCTGAACATATTAATTGGGCCCATTAACACCAGCATAATTTCATGTAACTGCATAGTTAATAGTTGAAGACAGATTTCCTGCTGCAGACAAATTACGGACTTCTTCCATGATTGAGCAGGGTCTGATCATAGTGACAACTGATGCAAGGAAAGCAGGGTGTTCTAGAAAAAGGAGTTAGTTATCCAGTAGAGACATGCTTTTCTTAGAGGTGATACTTGAACGGTTTCTTGCTCTGTTAATGCAGAATCTCATTTCACAGGAATTTGTTGTCTTTTGGTGTGGTTTTGAGATGTAACCTTGGATTCCATCACTTACTGATTCTAGTTTTGATAATTATTTTCTGTTTAATTTGGTGTGGTATTAAAGACACATGTTCTGACATTCTTTAAAAAGAACTGTTTTTAAAGTGCTTGAAACCTCTAAAATACACAGCATAAGTTTTGTTGGAAAGCCGCAGATGGATACTTGGCTAGTAGACATGTACTTTGGCCAATCTAACTTTTGTACAAAGGTTGTCTTGGTCTATGTTTCAAATCTGAGGCTTGCCTTAAATGATAAAAGGGGCTGCTACACTAATGCCCAACACAATTTACCCTTCCCTTTTGAGTTCCTTGTGATGAAGTTGGCAGTATGCTACTTAAATCTATGGTTTACCTGCAGTCAACCATTTAACAATTGAGACTGAAATAATTGAAGTGAAATAAATTTCAAGCTCTTACCTTTTGCCATCTTCCTTCTCTGATCCTTCCTCCAAGGGCTATCATGTCCTTGATGCATATATTCACCTTCACTAAAACCATCAGTGTTGCAGAACAGAAGGTAAATATGTGGATAGAATTTGCCAGTTAGTTTAAGCATGATTTCTTAAGGACCTGTATAACTGCTTTAAAAAGTATCAATTTGAAACTATTTTGTTTTATGTTTTCTGTTATCCAGTTAGAATAAGTTTTAGTGGTTTTAAATTAGGTAAATATTTTTAAATACTAATATTTTGTAGTTAAAATGTTGTATTTCACTAAACTTTTTCTAACTGAGAAGCAGTTTGGTTCTGAAACAAAATATTGAAGAAAAAAATGTTAAATAATACAATTTAATCTGAAATATGCTATTTGACTGAAAGGTTTAAAGAAGTTATGCTTATATCTTGCTGAGCACCTTCTAGTAAGAGAGTGAGGAGAGAGATAGATACTCACTTCTCATCAAGAAAAGCTGTCCTGAGCCAAGAGTTGTAATATGAAAGAAACTAACATTTCTGTTTGGTGGAGGGGTTACTTACTTCATGTGAATATGCACTGGTTTAGGCTGCAACCTATAACGAGTTGCTTTGAAGTTGCTAGTATCTAATTCGGGGGCTAAAGAGAGAATCTTTTCCTTTTCTAGGTAGCACTAAGTGTTCCATAACCTACCTTTAGTAGCAAAGTCAATTTTGTATTATATTTGAAGATCTGTACTTTTCTCCCTTTTATTTTAAAGGCTGCTAGTCTGTATCGGTTAGAAGAAGAAAATCATGAAGCAGCTGGCCGTCTGGAAGAGGTAGTTTATCGTGGGGATATGCTATTGGAGAAGATACAGAGTGCCCTGGCAGATATCGCGCAGTCACAGTTGAAGACACGGAGCAGAACGCATAGCCAGCCCCTTCTGGACTCGTAGTGGCAGGGGGCACTGTGCCCCTGCAAAAGCCAACTGCAAACCCTGCTCTGCATCGGCAGGGAGCAGCAACACCCAGCTGGATCTTGGTGGGCTTGTCGAGTGCTCTGATCGAGTAACAACGTCTTTAATCAAAGCTCAAACTGCAGGTTGTGTACGAGGAACTGTATAATCAGTGGTTCTATTCTAGAATTACATGTATTGATGTATGTTTCCATGACTTCTGAGCTTTCTTTTCTGTTCATAAATATGTCTGACTTCAGTCTGATTTGTTATCTTGATTACAGAAACCTTTGCCTCATGTAGTAGAAGAATTCTCCTGCATGATTTCCCCTAAAGGGAATTCAGAAGGAAAATATCTTAAGAGTAATTGTGTAACTTGCTCACTCCTACTTTGAAACATTTTATGTTCTTGGTGTATTTTTCTTGTAAGGCTCAAACAGACACGCTTGGACTTGCTAGAGTTCTGTGGAGACAGTGGTAGATAATGATGTGAATGCAGTGGTGGCCTCTGTTTTAATTAACAGAAATTACAATTAAACATTTGTATTACTACTTGGCTGGTTTACCACCCTTTACAGAGCAAGTAAAGGGATAAGTAAACTAATGTTTGCAGGGTAAGAGTTTGTGTCATTGGCATCTCATTTAAAAAATAAAATCTGCAGATATCTGATACTAGCATTTTATTATTATTTGTAGTTCATAAATGGGTATTTGACTCCATTATTGCCACTGGCATGCTTATTCTTACTTGCTCGTGCTATTTCTCTGCTGCTACTGATATTCTGCATTCTGGTGGCACTGGTGAATACTTCTGAAGCATACAACAATGAGGAAGCATTGGATGACTGAGAAGAAATCAGCAATGAGGAGACTGAAAATATGTTGTTATGTAATGTTGATTTTCACTGTAAGCAGTGGCAGCCACATGAATGTGGTGATCATAAGCGGCAAGAAGCCTGTTGTCCCCAATGTGTTCTCGAGGGTTTTGTTTTTATCTTCACACACTGAATAAAGTTTTGCCCCTCACCTTAGGACTATAGAAATACCAGCATGTCTTTTAATATTTGGAAAACAAAAACCAAAACACCAGATAATGTAGGGTTCAGTGCAGCAGCTTGGAGTTGAACTGTTAGTAATTTTCTGTAGTTTTGAGTTAGCAGCCTTGCATTATTGTAAGAAGCTCTTTATTACCACATAACTGCTTGTTTCCCAGCCAAAACTCCCTACTTCTATATATTTGATATAGTGCCATTAACTTGCAAGTTGAGTGTGTTGCTACTGCATATAGATGGGTAGGAGCAATTCAGATATGTCTTTAGCATGCTGATTCTTAAGGGATGAAATGCAGCTGCTGTCTAGACTGCACCATTGAAAGAAAGAGCATAACAGGGCACAGGATACATGCTGTGTACATCCTGTTTTGAGGATAAAAAAAATACAAAGCTGTTCCTGCCTGTAACAAATACTATAACTGAAGTATTTAATCAGACTGTTATTTAATTAAATACTTAATATTATTTTGTCAAATTTGTATATCTTTAGTTATAGACTTAGTCAGCTCTTGTGAGGCTCTTGTACTATCTAGACTCTACAGAGGAAGAACATTGCAGAGATGAAGGCTACAGCAGAGCCTCAGTTCTGTAGTGCGTTATTTATTAAAAATAACTGGGCTGTGGTGATTTACTAAGCCATGTAAATATACCCATTTGCTGGGGAGGCTTCAGGGGCCAGATTTTCATTTGAAGTCAGTTATGGAGCCTGCTTTGGTTTTGTTTTTTCCTAGAAAAATTACATCCAGTGCATCTCAAGTTGGTTGGGTAGTGGAGTGGAGGGTTTTTTTGTCAGTTGCTTGCTTTTTAAACTAGTGGACTTAGAAAACTTAGAGTGAAATATTTGGGCTTTGCTTGTGAATTTTTTTTTTTTTTTTTTGAGATTTGTACATTGGTGGAAAAAGGGTTAGATCTTCATAGTAAATTCCCTGGTATAGCTTAACATGTGCATCACCTCAAGCTTGGTAACTTGGAAGCTTTTGCTGTGGGAGGTTGTGTACATCTTCAGTAACAATACAATTCCTTTCATATCTTTCTGTTTTTCATACTTAAAAACTGCTGTATTTCTGCAGCTTGATACTAAGTGTAGAAGCTTTTCCTTTTAGTTGCTGTTTATTTGAATATGCTAGCCCACTTTATGTTAAAGTGTGTATCGGTATCAAACAGTTAATCACAGTGAGAAGTAAACCTTAACCAGAGATGTAAGTTCCCAAGTAAGCGTGTTTGGTTTTCAGTACTTTACCTGTGTCTAGTTCAGCCAATGTTGCCAGTTTAATAGAGATGAAGTTTGTGATACAGTTAAAAACAAGTAATGCAATAAAGCAAGAGAGCCAAATTTGCTCTTTTTTCCTTGAGAAATAATGTTTTGGTGAGTGAATAATACTGTAAGATGCACAACCCACTAGTTCTTGCATGTTGTGTTGCTGGATGTCCTCGTTCAGCTAGGATAGGGTTAAGTTTCCCCATCAGAGAGGGGGAAGGGATCTCCAGCCAAGTTATTCATACCATGTTGTCAGGTCCAGATGCGGGAGCATGGGAACTTTTTCCTTTGTGGCTTTGGTCGCGGGGAGCATCCCGAACAAGCTGTCTGTAAACATTGCGGTATTTCTCTGTATATCTTTTGTCTTGTTTACTGTTATTGCTGTTTATTGTTGTTATTGCTACTGTTGTTCAGAATGCTTATTACACTGTTGTATTAAATTTTTTCTTAGTTTCACCCGGGGTTTGTGCCCTACTTGTGTCCGAGGGTGGGGGAGGGGCAATGGCAGTGTGGTCTCTGGTCCTGGCAGGGCCTAAACCAACACAGCCTTTTTTGGTGCACCAATGTGGGGCACAAGAGGGTTGAAATACGAATCAAAAAGGGACAGACCCTGACCAGAGTGTGTTGAGCAATTTGTTAGGTGTAATTTTTTCTTATCAAACAAATACAAACAGAAATGTTTGCAATGCTGGCAAACTTGCTTGTGTGGTGGGGCTGGATTATTCCTTATATCCACTGTGTGTTCCCAGTGCTGGTGTTTGTTGGTGGTGTAAAATGTATAAAGGGGATTGTTTTATTATACAGGCTACTGACTGCTTATAATGTGTTTGTATCGCTGTGTGTGGGGGTAGGCCAGTACCTGTTTGCTGCCTGGGCTTTTGTTAGGGGTCTCACCCCCTCTATGGGTGAGCCAGCGGAAGAGATCCTATCAGCTTTGGGGAGTCTCAGTTATCCTTGGAGCCTGCAGGCCAGTGTGATTGTGGCACACTGCTTTCTGAATGCCTGCCAGATCTTGTTTTGGGCCATGCGGCACTTTTCTAACAGTAGCAGTGTCCAGAAACCTGCCCCGAGGTCAGATAATAGTGAGTGGCAAGATGTGTGGGAAAAGATGGGCAAAGGCCTGAGTCAGTGGGCACCTCCAATGCTTTGGAATTTCACTCCCAAACACAGAGCCCTGATAAGCTGATGGAGTGCTTAGAAAGGATGTGTTACCGATGTGGCAAAACCCAGGAGACTGAAATCGTTGCAATGTGTTGGGGACTTGCCCATGCCTACCGTGTCCCCTTTAATATCATCCACTGCCCTAGGGAGGAGAAAAGGCTACAGAATCTGAGAGTGAAATTACTTGTACAGCAGCTGGGCCGGGGGAACAGGCAGAGCCAGTATCAGTCACCTCCACCAGCACAGCAGCTAAGCCAAAGAGCCAGTCAGTGCTTTTGAAATGGAGGGGAGAGAGGCCAAGCAGCTGGGATCTTTGGCCAAGGATGCTGGCATTGATAGGGAAATAGGGAAACAGGCTCAAACCCTCAGCCTTTGGAAATGACTCTTGCTCAGTGTAAGGGAGAGGTACCCCTACAAGGGGGGTACCTGATGTGGCGAAAGTTCCTGAAGAGCGCACCAGAAGCACACTCAAAAGCATTGGCAATAGTGTCCTGGTAGACAGACACCCAGACTCTAACAGTGGATGGAGTGGTTGGCAAGCTCTGTCAATATGAGGAAAATCTCCCTTCATCTCAACATTCCTGGGTCTCAGCTGTGGAGGAATTGTCTCAGAGGGTCCAGAAAATGGAAGAGGACATGTCCTGTATTCCATCTGCACGGGCCGATGTTTCAGCCATTAGAAGTAAATGTTTCCCCACCCAAGAGAAAGGCAGCAGAAGGCACACACCAAGATGCACCCTGTGGTTTTTCCTCCTCGACCATGGAGAGAACATGAGGAGGTGGGATGGACAGCCCACTGCCACCCTAGCTGCACGAGTAGAGCAGCTAAAAGGGAAGACCATCACAAAAGGGGAGTCCTTCAAGAAAATTGCAGCTCCAGTGTCCAGTCAGAAATTCCCCAGACAGAATAGAATGGTGAACGTTATGTCTGACCCCCTTGAGGGGACCAGTAAATCATTCTCACAAGAAGTGAATGATGATGAGCAGGATTGGAGGGGCCCTGCCTCCAACCCTGTGGAGGAAAGGGATAATCGGATTTACTGGACAGTGTGGATCCAGTGGCCTGGCACGTCAGACCCACAAGAATATAAGGATTTGGTGGACACTGGCGCACAGTGCACCCTGATGCCATTGAGCTACAGTGGGGTTGAATCCATCTGCATCTCCGGAGTGACAGGGGGATCCCAACAGCTGACCCTATTGGAAGCTGAAGTGAGCCTGACTGGGAAGGACTGGCATAAGCACGCCATTGTGACTGGCCCAGATGCCCCGTGCATCCTGGGCATAGACTGTCTCAGGAGAGGGTACTTCAAAGAACCAAAAGGGTACCAGTGGGCTTTTGGTGTAGCTGCCCTGGAGGAGGTTGAACAGTTGTCCACGTTACCCAGCCTCTCAGAGGATCCCTCAGTGGTGGGGCGGCTTAAGGTTGAGGAGCAGCGAGTGCCAACTGCTACCAGGACGGTGCACCAGCAGCAATACCACACCAACCAGGATTCCCCGGTCTCCATCCATCAGCTGATGCGTCACCTAGAAAGCCAGAAGGTGATCAGCAAAACTCACTCCCCCTTCAACAGCCCTATATGGCCAGTGAGAAAGCCTAATGGTGAATGGAGGCTAACTGTGGGCTACCGTGGCCTGAATGAAGTTACACCAGCAATGAGTGCTGCAGTGCCAGACATGCTAGAGCTCCAGTATGAACTGGAGTCGAAGGCAGCCAAGTGGTATGCCATGATTGACATTGCTAACGTGTTTTTCTCCATTCCGATAGCGCCTGAGTGAAGGCCACAGTTTGCTTTCACTTGGAGAGGCATCCAGTACACCTGGAATCGATTGCCCCAGGGGTGGAACCACGGCTCCACCATTGGCCATGTACTGATCCATACTGCACTGGAGAAAGGTGGGGCTCCAGAACACCTGCACTACATTGATGACATCATTGTATGGGGGAATACAGCCAAGGAAGTCTTTGAGAAAGGGAAGAAGATAACTGAAATCCTCCTGAAGGCCGGCTTTGCCATTAAGCAAAAGAAAGGGGCCTGCAAGGGAAATTCAATTCCTAGGAATAAAATGGCAAGATGGGCATTGCCACATCCCAGTGGAGGTGATAAATAAGATAACAGCCATGGCCCCACCAACCTCTAAAAAGGAGACTCAGTCTTTCCTGGGCACTGTGGGGTTCTGGAGGATGCACATCCTGAACTACAGCCTGATTGTGAGCCCTCTTTACCATGTAACCCGCAGAAGAACGATTTTAAATGGGGCTCTGAGCAACAACAATCCTTTGAAAAAATTAAGCAGGAGATTGCCCAAGCAGTAGCCCTCGGGCCAGTCCGGGCAGGGCAGGAGGTTAAGAACATGCTCAACACCGCAGGTGGGGAAAATGTCCCTACCAGGAGCCTCTGGCAGAGAGCACCTGGGGAAACCCGAGGCCGACCTCTAGACTTTCGGAGCCGGGGATACAAAGGCTCTGAAGCTAATTATACACCAACTGAGAAGGAGATAGTGGCAGCATACGAAGGAGTTCGGGCTGCCTCAGAAGTGGTCAGCACTGAAACACAGCTCCTCCTGGCACCCCGACTGCTGGTGCTGGGGTGGATGTTCAAAGGAAAGGCCTCCTCCACGCATCATGCAACAGATGCCACGTGGAGTAAATGGGTTGCATTGATAACACAACGGGCTCAAATAGGGAACCCCAGCCGCCCAGGGATACTAGAGGTGATTACGAACTGGCCAGAGAGCAAATATTGTTGGATGTCACCAGAACAGGAGGTGACACATGCTAAGGAGGACCCACCATATAGCAAGTTGCTGGATGAGGAGAAGTGATATACCCTGTTCACTGATGGGTCTTGTTGCATTGTGGGAAAACATTGACAATGGAGGGCTGCTGTATGGAGTCCCACATGACAGGTCACTGAAGTTGTTGAGGGACAGGGTGAATCGAGCCAGTTTGCAGAGGTGAAAGCCATCCAGCTTGCTTTGGATATTGCTGAGAGGGAAAAGTGGCCGAGGCTCCACCTCTACGCTGACTCGTGGGTGGTGGCAAATACCCCATGGAAATGGTTGCAGCAATAGAAACAGAGCAACTATCAACGTAAGTGTAAAACCATCTGGGCTGCTGAGGTGTGGCTGTAGATTGCAGCCCGTGTGGAAAACTTCTTTGTGAAGGTGCGCCATGTGGATGCCCATGTACCCCAGAGTCGAGACACTGATGAATATCGACAGAATCAGCAGGCAGACCAAGCTGCTAAGATTAGAGTGGCTCAGGTGGACTTGGACTGGCAGCGCAAAGGTGAACTGTTCATAGCCCGGTGGGCCCATGACACCTCAGGCCACCAAGGTAGAGATGTAACATACAGGTGGGCTCGAGATCGAGGGGTGGAATTTACTATTAACACCATTGCAGAGATCATCCACAGATGTGAGATGTGTGCTGCAATCAAACATGCCAAGTGAGTGAAGCCCCAGCAAAATGGAGAGCGATGGCTGAAATATGGATATGGAGAGGCCTGGCAGATCGACTACATCACACTGCCACAGACCTGCCAAAGGAAGTGCCATGTCCTCACAATGGTGGAAGTAACCACTGGATGGCTGGAAATTAACACAGTACCCCACGCCACCGCCGGGAACACTGACCTGGGCCTTGAAACCCAAGTCCTGTGGTGACATGGCACCCCAGAGAGAATTGAGTCAGACAACGGGACCCACTTCCGAAACAACCTCATAAATGCCTGGGCAGAAGAACACGGCATCAAGTGGGTCTACAATATCCCCTACCACGCACCAGCCTCTGGGATGATCAAGCGCTACAATGGACTGTTACAAATCACATTGAAAGCACTGGGAGGTGGGACTTTCAAAGACTGGGACATGCATCTGTCAAAGGCCACCTGGCTAGTCACACAAGAGGATCTGCCAGGCGAGCTGGCCCGGCTCAGTCAAAACCTCCACGTGCTGTAGATGGGGATAAAGTCCCTGTGGTGCGCATGAGGAATATATTGGGAAAAATGGTCTGGTTTAGTCCTGCACCAGGCAAAGGTAAAGGCAAACCCATCCACAGGATTGCTTTTGCTCAGGGACCTGGGTGTACCTGGTGGGTGATGCAGGACAATGGAGAGGTCTGATGTGTACCACAGGGGAACCTGATTCTGGGTGAGAACATGCCGTGAATTATGCTGTGCCTTTGTAAATTGTTATTTTGTTATTGTTAACTGCTAAATGGCAGCTGGACATGACACATATGGTATAGAATAAAGGGGTGGATTATGTCCTGGTTCAACTAGGATAGGGTTAAGTTTCCCCAGCAGAGAGGGGTAAGGGATTTCCAGCCGGGTTATTCATACCATGCTGATGTCAGGTCTGGGTGCGGGAGTGCGGGAACTTTTTTCTTTATGGCTTTGGTCTTGGAGAGCATCACGAGTGAGCTGTCTGTAAGCATTGCAGTATTTCTTTGTATATCTTTTATCTTTTTTACTGTTATTACTGTTTATTTTTGCTATCATTGCTACTACTGTTGTTCAGATTGCTTATTGCACTGTTGTATTAAATGTCTTATTTTAACCCGGGGTTTGTGCCTCACTTCCTGCCTGGCTGGCTGAGTGTGGGGGAGGGGCAACAGCAACGTGATCTCCAGTCCCAGCAGGGCTTAAACCACCACACTGGACTAGCTTTTGTAAAGCTTTACCTGCTCTACAGTCTGCGTCTCAGTGAGGTTGTATATCTTTTGTTTGGCTCTGACATGATGGAGGAAAAAACACTGATTTGCTACAGCTGTCTAATGAACAAAGAATTAGATTGGGGTTTGGAGAGTTTTAAACATCTCTGTTTAAAAAAACTGTATGCAATGGTAGTTATCTCCTTAGGGAGGTACTTGTGCAAAAATTGTGGGGCATGCAGGATTACTGTCTGTAAAAAAAAAAAAAAAAAAAAAAAAAAAGGCGGTGAAAAGGCAAATGTCTTTGGAAAAAAGTCTTTTATCTTCCCTGAGAAGTCTTGACTGCCTTCAAACTTATTATTGAAGAGAGGAAGGTTGGGGGAGGAAAAACTCTACCTAACAGCTGCTAACAAGCATATCAGGCTACATGCAAGAGAGCTGTAAAAGAAGACTTTGACTTTGGTTGAGACAAGATAATTAATGGAGGTAAAGCATCATGGTAAGAAAATGAAAGTATTGTGCAAGATATAAAATGGTTCTGCATATTATATTGGACAAAGAGTACTGCACAGTGAGCAAATTGTGCTTTGAAGAAAGACAGCACCAATCATAATGGAAAATTCCACTGAAAAACAATCTCAACCACTCTAAATGAGCAGGAGCATCTCATGCTGAGAATCCATACAGCCCACTGGCAAAGATATTGGAATCAATTTAATAAATATAAGTGGCTGATCAAAGCCTAGTATTCTTTACCATAAACAACCTTGCTCAGAGGAAAGGAATGCCTTGCAGCAGTTGTTCTCATTTTCAGCTACAAGAATAGGGAGCAATTAATATGCTTGTTTTTAAAGATACTGAAAAAAAGTGCAGTAACAATATTTTAGCTTCATGTCTTGTGATGGTTTGACTCTGGCTAAATGCCAGGTATCCTCCAAGTCGCTCTATTAATTCCGCCCCCCCCCC